AGGAATAAAATGTGGTGTTATACCACCACTCAGTTGCTGCTAAGTAAGAGTACCAATCCTTTTGAGAATCAGAACAAAAGCACCTAAGGTAGGTCTCCAAACACCTGTTAACGACCTCTATCTGTCCATCAGACTGAGGATGTATTCTGTAGAAGTGCTAAATGTGATACCACTCATAAAGAACAACTCTTCCTATAGTTTGCTAGTGAATATAGGATCCCTATCACTCCCTATGTCCTCTGGCATGCCATGCGATCTGAACACATGCTCCATAAACAACCTGGCAATATCAATAGTAGTGTAAGGGTGAGCCACTCCTATGAAGTCAGCATACTTAGTTAGTCTGTCTGCCACCACCCATATCACTATCTTCCCCTTAGATTTTGGCAACCCTTCAATGAAATCCATGGTTATACTACTCCAAGCCAGTGAGGGTAGCTTAAGTGGTTGTAATATCCTGGGTAGGGTAGTGTCTCATACTTGTGCCTCTGATAGATGTCACACTTCTTGACATGTGTTTGAACATCTTCCTTCATCCCCCTCCAGTAGAAGAGAGCAACTATCCTTCTTTAAGTGTGATCTATGCCAGAATGCCCTCCAGTAGGTGAGTCATGCCACAGTTTCATAATATCCCTACTTATTTGCTCATCTGACCCCACCACCAACTTTCAATTTCTTCTTAACTGGTTAAGCACAAAAGAATACCCATTGGATTCTACGCCTTCCCCTTTTTGTACTCAATATAAAGTCATTCTGCATGAGCTTGGTTATCTAGTTCAACTAAGACTCTGTGTGCAGTTTCTGCTCAAGAAGGAATTTCATTGCCTTTTGTTCTGTTTCCACTGTGAATGGTCTCCCAGTCAAGTATTGTGACCATTTATTTACTGTCATTACCAATGCTAATAATTCCTTGTCATAAACTGACAATGTTTGGTGTTGTGGGTATAAGCCTTTGCTCAAGTAAGCTATTGGTTGACCCTTCTACATCAATATAACCTCTATTCCAATAGTGCAAGCATCTGTTTCCACAACAAATGGTATGGAGAAGTCAGGTAGGACCAAAACTAGTGCAGAGGTTAATGCTTTCTTCAAATCGTTAAAGGCTTCAGTAGCTTTGGAGGACCATTTAAAGTTATCCTTTCACAACAACTCAGTAAGAGGCTTGCTAAGGACCCCATACCCCTTGATGAACTTTCTGTAGTACCCTACTATCCACAAGAATCCCTTTAGCTGCTTGAGATTAGCAGGTTCTAGCCACAACTATACAACTTCTATCTTCTTAGGGTCTATAGCTACTCCCTCTGCATAGATATAATTCCCTAGGTACTCTACTCTGGTGGCTGGAAATATACACTTGCTTTCTTTAGCAAAAGGTTGGTGTTAGATCAGCAGTTCAAAAGTGATCCTGAGGTGTTGGACATGCTCCTGGAGGTCTTTGCTAAATACCAAGATGTCATCTAAGAATACCACGATGAACTTCCTGAGGTGTGCTTGAAACATGTGGTTCATCAGACCGTGAAAGCTGGAAGGTGCATTGGTGAGGCCAAAGGGCATTAGCAAATACTCATAGTGACCAAAATGAGTCTTAAAGGCTGTCTTTTGAACGTCTGAGGGTGCCATCCTGATTTGATGGTAGACAGCCCTTAAATCTATCTTGGAATAGATTTTTGAACCCCCACAGCTCATCTAATAGCTCCTCAATATATCGTATGGGAAACTTATCCTTCACAGTTGGCTTGTTTAGGGCTATATAGTCCACACATAGCCTCCAAGAACCATTTTTCTTTCCTACCAAAACCACAGGAGAAGCATATGAGCTAGCACTATACTGAATTATCCCTTGCTTCAACATTTCTGATATTATCTTCTATATCACATCCTTCTGAAGGGGAGAGTATCTATAGGTCCTTGAGTTCACAGGGAGGCTGTCATCTTTTAATGGAATATGGTGATCAAACTCACCCCTTGAAGGTGGTAACTGTTTTGGTTCCTTAAATAATCATTTGTATTCTTCCAGTAGTACCTACACTTCAACTGGTTTTTTCCTCCTGGCCGGTACCGTGTTCATCCTTAATAAGTGATCTTGGGAATACTTTGATCATAAAGATCTAAGCATCATTGGCAAAAATCTTGTTGAGGGTCTTGGCATCTACAGTCTTAAAGGAAGGTTGGATGCCTTGCAAAGCAACTTGCTTGCCTTGTTACACAAATCTCATTTATAACTTTTCAAAGTTGATTTGGATATCCCCAACCTTTCACAACCAGTGAATGCCCAGCACCACATCACAGCTCCTTATAGGAAGCACCAAGAAATAATCCTGAAACATGACTCCTTGCATCAGCCACTTAAACCCTTTGCTCCGCTTTACTGATTGAATAATCCTTCCATATGCCACTGATACATCTTGAGGATTCATCTAATCCTCTGAGCTGCATTTTCATTAATGAAGTTATGTGTAGATCCACTATTATTGAGGATGTTGATTGGTTGTGCTTAGTGAAGCCCTGAACCCTTAAGGTCTTGTATCCTCTGGAACAATGCAGGACTTCTAAGGAGATTTCACAACTTTCTATAACCTCATCTTCCTTCCCTTGATACTTATTGTTATCTTCAAGTTCTGACTCTTCAGTGGCAACTACACCTTCATCCTCAATCTCCAAACTACATTTTGGCTATACATTTGTGCCCTGGCACAAACTTTTCATCACAGAAAAAACACATGCCTGGGCTCTCCTTTCTTCCATCTCAGCTGGAGAGAGTCTTCTCCTCCTGTTGTTATCAAAGCTGGCAGTAACTGGTCCCTTGCTTCCTGTTATATTCCCTTTGAAAACTCCACTAAATCCTGGTCTTGATGCTCCCTAGAAAGCTGAATATGTTAAAGTGTGACCTTTGATGGTCTTGCTCTAAGTAGCAAAGCTTGCCTCTTGCAGTCTAGCTAGGTAGTAAGGTTGAGGCAAGCTGCAAGGATTCTCTACTCTAACAGCATCCCTGAGCTTGGGTTTTAGGTTGTTCAGGAAGATACTAATTGCATGCTCAGTAGCTAAATTGATTCTAGTTATAACACTGACAAATGATCTTTGATAATCCTTCACTGAGCCTGTGTGTTTGACATTCATTAGCTCGGTCATAGGGTCAGTGTACTTAGCCCCAAAGCTATCATAAAGTGGCCATAGGTACTCTTCCCAAGTGGGAAGAAGCATCTGCCCTCTACTTATCATGTAACCTAAATGCCACTGCAGTGCATACCCATCAAAGTGCACGGACACTAATTTCATTCTCTGATGAATAGTTACCTCCTTATCAACAAAGAACTACTCCATCTTATACAACCAAGTCCTCGGGTCCTCACCATTAAACTTAGGAAATTCTACCTTATGATACTTAGTCAAAGGAATATTGGGTAAGAGAACAGTGGTGCTATAGGGGATATTTTGTTGGTGCCCGTAGTAGGTGTAGGCTGGTAGGGGTAAGGTGTAGGAATATAGGGAACTTGGTGGTACAAAAGAAGGTGATATGTGAGTGGTTTGGGTGCAGTAGGTAGGTGGAAATTGAGTGTGTTGTGTATAGTGGTTGTAGAGTGTAGTATAACCATAGGAGACCATTGGGTCTGAAACCGGGCTTGTTGTTAGCTTCTGCTTGAGCTGTTTGGGTATAAGGAGGCTGAGGCTACATCAAGGTTGCTCTAGGAGGTGGAATAGGATGAGAGGGAAAATTATATGTTTCAAAGAGAGCAGGTTGTTTAGGAGTGGTTCGTGCAGGTAGGTTGGGTATTGAGGAGCTAGGGTTTGAATGGATCTGTGAGGCTTCTAACATAGCAACAAAGGTGGCTCTAATTGGAGCAACAGAGATAGGGTTACTGATAGGGTTGGGGACAACAACAGGGCTATTGACCCCTTGTGAGCTAGTTGAAGCTAAATGTCCAAAATTAAAAGGTTTATCATTGGGTGAGTAAAGCTCACCTCCACTGTAGGCTACTGATTTATCCCTCTCAGGTTTCTTCATATCGTGTATAACTTCATTGAGTACCTCCCTTAGCTCGCTCAGTGCTTCTTCTTGATTTCTGTAGGTCTGTTCTTGAACAGCCTCCAGTTGGTCTTGTTTAGCTGTGAAAGTCGACACTTCTGTAGATATCTTTTTGAGTGCCTCGATAACTTCACTCATATTAGGAGTCATTGTTCCCAAAGAGCCAAGATTTGCTCTGATACCACTAATACGAGTTGAGCTAAAACAGCAGAAATTAAAAGGAAAATGGAAAAGGAGCAATAAAATAGTAAAAAGCGGGAAAGAAAAAGAAGAAATGCAAGCTATCTAGGGCAACAAAAATAAGGTGATGTATATTAATAATAATGAAATGCATAGCTATTACAATATATAGAAATGCAGACGTAGATTCCTTAGTTGGCAGCATACAACATCTGTCATATTCTAACTACCTGAACCGAACCTATTGTGTATAAGACAACCAAATTGATGGGGTCAGTGTGTAATTACTGCAACTATAACTTAAAAGTAAAAGGGACTAAACTGACTAACTTATAAACTTATTCCTAGCCTTGTCCTCAACTAAGTTAATAGCTAAGTACACATGCGCAAACACAAGGTACCACTGTTGTAGCTCTTCCCTTGTAAGATTCGTATCGGCATATATATGTTAAATAAAAAATATATATATTAAATAATTCATCATGAAATTAACTAGCGTTTCTTAGCTTATTGTCACCCTATACAACCCTCCTTTTTAATCGGCAATATGAGAAATTCCATATAAATTACTTTTCAATACGATTTCTTTTTAATTAACTAAAACTTCAGGTATCAATTCTTGAATATCCGTTATGCTAGAATATTCATGCAAGTCTTTCTCAAATTTTACAAATTCATTTGTTGGATATATATTAAAAAATTCAGTTTTTTCGAATTCTTGAGTTTTATTTTAAAATTCGAAACCAAAACTTTTACTCTCTTTCGAGAGGTTGAGACCAAAGATTTTGAAAAATTAACCCAAAGTCCAGTCCCTTATGAATGGAAAGCTGTTGTCGGTTGTGGAATCATCGCCATTCACCCGCGTGTACAACTGTAAAGCCGCTGCCTTTAAATATGGTCTCTCACCATAATCAGTGATCTACAATCTCCTTAATTCAGTGTTATAAATACTGCTCCCCTCCACAATTATCTCTCCAGTAAAATCTTGACTCTTTTTTATCAACAAAAAAATCTTGTTATTTTCTCTATCTAGTCCAAATCCAGATCTATTCTCTCTTTTTAGGTAAGCTTCAACCTTTCACATTTCTCAAAAGATTGCAACTTTTTGATTTTTTGTTTACCCTGTTAGTTATCTTGGTTTTGCAGGTTGAAATATTGGATTATAATGTCAACAATGGTCAAAGATGTGCATTCTAATGGAAATGCTCCGAATTCAAAGCCATTCAAGATTTTCATAGGTTATGATCCAAGTGAAGATGTTGCATATGAGGTCTGTAAATATTCCCTATTGAAAAGATCTTCAATCCCAATTGAAATCATACCCATTAAACAATCAGAGTTAAGGCAAAAGGGGTTATATTGGCGTGAAAGGGGGAAATTAGAAAGCACTGAGTTTTCATTTTCTCGTTTCTTGACACCTCACTTGGCTAATTATGAGGGTTGGGCTATGTTTGTTGATTGTGATTTTTTATACTTGGGTGATATTAAAGAATTAAGGGATATGGTTGATGATAAATATGCTGTAATGTGTGTACATCATGATTATGCACCAAAAGAAACAACAAAAATGGATGGGGCAGTGCAAACTGTATACCCTAGAAAGAATTGGTCATCAATGGTTCTTTATAATTGTGGGCATCCTAAGAATAAGGTGTTGACACCTGAGATAGTGAATACAGAATCTGGAGCATTTCTTCATAGGTTCATGTGGTTGGAGGATAATGAAATCGGGGAAGTTCCGTTCGTTTGGAACTTCCTTGTAGGGCACAATAAGGTTGTTGAGGGTGATCCGAATACATTTCCTAAGTCAATTCATTATACACTAGGCGGACCTTGGTTTGAGGCTTGGAAAGATTGTGAATTCGGAGATTTGTGGATAAAGGAGCTCGAGGAGTACAAGAAGTCGATGGAGAAGAAGGCGGATTAAGGCCAATGTAGCTAATGGTATTGTTTTACTGCCATAGATTTTTAGTTAAGGTAATTGATTCAGGGGCTTGAGAGCTATGCCTTCTTGATTTAGTATTCAATATTGTTTTGATCTGTATTGTCTTCATTAGGGAGATGTAACCAATTCATTCCAAATCCAATACTTTGTATTCTATTGTTACAAGTATTAGTTAGTAAGCAGTTTTTCAGTCATATAATTGTAATAGATTCATTGAAAGAATAAGATCATCCCCATCTTTGAGTGATGTATCATATGCTTTTGGTTATTTTATAAATGAAATAGCTTTTGTCTCTCTCGTGATGGAAGAGGTTTTGTTGCTTTGATCAATTATGTAATTTGGTTGTGTCTGTTAGGACCGAAATAATCAGATGTCATGCGGAAGCTAGTAAAGCAACACTTGAACGATGATAAATTAGACGACAAAAGAGAAATCTACCAAAAAATACACAAACATATAACGTGGTTCGGTCAACTGACCTACGTCCACGGCGGAGATGAGCAATCTACTGTAATAAAAGAGAGTACAAAATATCGAGAGAACAACCTCACGAAGGCAAACACAAGTGACACACTAACACTTGTCCCGTAAAGTTCTCCCCCCTACACACGACTCTCAAACCTCATATGGCTACATTGTGGATGCTAATGAACGTTAAGGAAGGATCCTCACTTTATAGAATTCCAAACCTTCTCCTACAAGAAAAGGGACTAGCCAAATATGGAAGAATTATATTTTCCTTCTAGGAAAAGAAAAATCCAATTATGGTAAATATGTTGTCCTTTCCTTCATGAGATAGAAAAACCAATTATAGTAAGAAAATCTGGACAAATACCTAACAGTGTCAAATAAGTTATCTTTCTCCCACTTAATAAATTTTCTGCAAAGGGAAGAAACATTTTACACCCACTGCTGATTTTTACCATTGGGAAGATTCATCGTAGACGAATTTGTATGTCCTCATATTCTTTTGCTTGATAAAGCTGAAGCACTATGTGCACTGTTATTCTCATACAATAACTTTGTAATGTCAAATTAACCTGCATTCGCGTATAGGTTGTAATTTCATTTGCCTCCAAAGATGTAGTATTCCTCTCTCTGTCCCTCTATCTCCCTCCCTCCCCTGAACTTTCCCTTTATCGTGGATTCAATTTAATTTATTTATTAGAACTTTGCCATTTACACTCTTTTTTTAATCATCTAGATTGTTAAGTTGCCTGAATTCTGTACATTTTAGTTTCTGGTCATTGAATCCAAACTAATTCGCTGATTTAAGTGTGGAATACAACTGTAGCTTCTATATGCATCAGCTTCTTAATCTGAAAGCACATGTATTGGAGATGAGGCTTATATAAGACATCTGTTTTAACTTTCTTTTTTGTTCTTACATCAGAATGTTTTCGGATATACCGAGTGTGAAAGCCTTTGAGTATCCAACTAATAATGGGGGATATTTTTAAAAATAGCCAGATTTACAACTGGTCGTTCAAAAATAGCCCAATTTCAAAAGTAATTGAAATTTAACCACTTTTTATGTAAAGATAAATCTGAGCAAAAATACTGTTCAAAACCCGGAATATACTCCAGTATATTATGCTGGAGTTCCAGCATAAGTATACTTGAACTCCAGCATATTATACTGGAGTTCCAGGATAGTATGCTGGAACTCCAGCATAATATGATGGAGTTCCAGCATAAATACACTAGAACTCCAGCATAATATACTGGAGTTCCAGCAAGTATAATGGTCCAGTATAATATACTGGAGTTTGGAACACCAGTGCTCCAGTCTCCAGTATATTATACTGGAGCCAGCAAAGTATACCGGTCCAGCATAATATGCTGGAGTTCATACACAAGTGCACCGAACTCCAGTATATTATGCTGGACCGGTCTCTATTGCAGCAAAACGGTGGCTATTTTTCATTGACTTGGTAAACGCTGGCTATTTTTGATTGACCAGTCCAAAAACTGGCTATACCGTGAAATTTTGGCCTAATAATGTGTATGATGTGGTGTTACTTTATCTACTAATAAGGGAATATGAACTTACTACTGTATCAACACGATTCCCTCCTTCCCTCTGAAGAAAAAGGAATCTTTCAATATTGCAATAAGTGCAGTCTTTAGAAAAACTTATTAAGAAAAGGAAAGTTCTTTTCATGAAAATTGACAGAGAACATGGATTCTGGAACATAGTATGGTTCCTTGTGTTGTCTGATTTTTACTTGGGTAATGTAGTATTCCAACTTATCCCTCTGCTTCAGCATTTCAAAATTCCAGGTGCCAGCCTATCATACTCTCAGGTTCACTTGCTTTCTTTTTACTGTTAAACGGTATGATCTCTTAGCTTTTCTGTATTACTTCGTCGACAAAACATTCTCTGAGATAAGTTGTTCATTTGGTGTAGCTGATAGTAATAATTTGTAGTGTCTTAAAGTTGGTCCTTAAGTAAGTTATCCAAAAAAACATAAGGTCCAGAAATGTGGTTTTTCAGTTTCATGTTGCTTTAAAGTACTATTGACAAGTCCAGCTTTGACAAGCCTATTTTAACGTCTTTAATGCCTCATCTAAGCAATTCCTATCACGATTCTATAATATAAAAGGCTATGCTGTTCCATGTGTGTATTAAGCAGATGTTGTGGTCTGGGCAGAAAGGCTATTTTTGCATATTGGCTTTGAAAAGTATGTGTTAGGATGTAAAGCTTGAATCAGCTTTGCTTTCAGAGAACTGTTCTTTACTTCTGTGGAGCATCCATCAGCTTCACAAAACATATCAAGCTCACCAAGTAGGAACATTGGGGTTGGGGGG